GCTCCCTCCCCGTATTGCCCTATGGTTCCGTGTGGGTTGGTGGTTCGCCCGATTCTTGAATTGAAGTCCCCAACTAGAACTACTTCTCCCTTTCTCTTGAAGTTTTGTACATCCGCTGCTACCTCCTCGAAACCTATCCTGATGTCTTTCACCATATTCTTCGACTCTGGTGGCATATATACATTTCCTACGAACAAGTCCTTTCTTCCCCGTTCCCCTGGTACCCTTATCCACATGCTTTCGTTGAATTTGGTGTCGCTGATCACCTCAATTATGTCGCACATGTGCTCCTTGACAAAGAATCCAACTCCCCCCTCCCCTCTACTCTTGATTTTCTGTCCTCTCCTCATTTTACCTATCCATGTGTAGCTTCCCACTTCTTTTCCTATTTCTCCCCCGTCCTTCTCCCACGACTCTTGGACTCCGACTATGTCCAGGTCTTTTTCGGCCGCTTGCTCGGCAATTTCGAGTCTTTTACGCTCATCTGTGGCAAATCCGCATACATTCCAAGACCCTATTCTGATTTCCTTACTCCTACTTTCTACTTTCCTGTGCCTTTCAGGATTCCTTTTGTCCCTCATTTGCCTTCCCTTCTGCCTTATCCTATCGCTGCCCCCCCCTTCTCCTACTTTGGCTTGCTTTCCCTTTTGACCCTTTCGGGCCTCCTGCCCCCCTTTGTTTTCAGCCAGCCTTGGGCTACGCCTTACTTCCTGGATCCTATTTGCTATGCACACCCTCCAACCTAGTCTCCTCACCCACGCCGACATCTTCTCTACTTCTAGTCTTTCCCATTCTGCGCTTACTCTCCTTCCAAACGTGATTCTAAAGTGGTTTCCTTCCCTTTCTACCCCCCCCCTTGCGAAGCAATATAATCCTACTTCTTCACATTTACTTTTGAACTCCAACCTTGTCATGTCGCTATTGACCCCAAATATCAACACTACCAGTACTGCACCTTTCCATTCTCTCCTTCTCCACCCTTTGTGCCTCGTCGTCTCCCTCCCTATCTCTTTCGAGACTATCTCGTTCTTTGTGTTTGAAGTGGGATGCTTTCAAATTACTGGGACTTCCCAATCCTAGTACTTGTTGAGGGTCTGGTGTCTTTCAATTCTTTTGCCGGCTCACCGACACTAAAAAGTGCCTCCAACACGGGCTCATAGCCTGGAGCCAAGTTCAACACCCTTAGCACAAGTACCCCAAGTTTGTGCCAGGCGATCTGCATGGTAACCAACCCAAGCGTCCCACGACCGTTTCTTCTCTCAACTTGCCCCAGCTGCTGTACTGGGTACTTTCCTCCGGGGAGGTCATTTTCCCCATGTAAGGTTCAAGGGTGGCTTGCATAACAGAAGGTCTCACTCACACATCGGGATGTCCGTCTCTTCCTTGATTTTTATGACATACAAACATAAAAATCGGTGTGTGGGGGGGGGGGATATCCACCACCGGTGCATTCAAAAATGCCATTAGGATTTATTTGATTGATTCCATGTCTTTTGGGTCCCGGGAGTTACAAAGCAATAAGGCCACCGGTAGCGCACCCAGATTATGGCCCGTGCTCACGACCATCACAGTCGTGGTGGCGAGTGCTACCTCGGCCGTATCGAAACCATTCGGCACAGGAATCACGGCAGCGTCATGCCTTCAAGACAAGTCCTGAGTCGTGGCGGTCAAGATGGGACTCCTCATACATATTTGGTGGAGAGGCTGCTACTCTCAGCACACGCCCATCCACTGCAATCAAAGAAACTGTAAATGGCTGTGTGTCGGGGGGGCGTCCTCTTTTGGAGACACGACACCGCTGTGATGTCGCTAGGTCCTGCATAGGGTGGAGGTGGGGAATGTACTCATGTAAACGCATGCCGTAGTCGGTAGATCATAGACCTCGCATTCCTACAGCACCGGGACGGAGCGACATGCCGGTTTTTCGCCGGCCCAGGCTACATTACGTACGTTTGACAGTGTCATCATCCTTGCGTTTGCTGTGGGCGTTTCGCATATGGCAGGCACGTCTATACTTCAAGGACTGCAAGATACTCGCTAGATCTTTGCGCGCTCGTACAAAGCAGGCGCGCCACACACACGGCAAACACGTCGCTTCGTATGTCATACACTTGGGAGTACAATCTGCTCATATGCTCCTGGTAGAAGTCATGTACTCCTAGTGGAAGAATTCCAGGTGATTCGTTGACAAGTATTTTCGCTCTAGGGCTCTCCAACTATCTAGTATCAGCATACATCCATCCTATCGTAGTGGCGGGGGAATTCGCCGAGGCAAATTCAGCGATCCCATCCACGTGTATACTGGCCGGGCCAATCAACATCTAGCTCTGAGAACCGATTTCGACTACTATAACTAAGTGTTCCCCGGCTGCCGGAAAAAGGAACAACACCAATGAATTCGGCCCGTTCCTATTCGCATGTTCAATTTTCCAGGCAGACGAGGTACATGGAGTGGTGGTCTTCAAGGTGTGCAACTGAAACATGCCTACAAAAAATCATACACCCTTTTCACACAAAACAAACAAAACCTTCGATAACGAAACTCGAAGAGTCGCAGATGCATGTAAATGCACAACACATCGACCGTGCAACGCTACTTTCATCTTGCCACCCCCACAAGAATAAGCACTTTGGCACTCTCCTTGCTGTAAAACAAAGAGAAAGGACTATACAGAGACACCCATTACTGGTGCGTACAACTACTTTCAGGACACCCACATCATCATGAGTGACCCTCCGGCCGAAGCCTCTTCCATTTTTTTCGCCAAAAAGGTGAAAGCAAAGATATAACTTTCAAGTATGGACTTTGAAAAGACTCATCAGGTCACCGTCTCGGCCCCGTGACTACAGCGGCGACGGTGCAAGGCAACAAACCAGATGCGACCTGACCTCATCGTTCGAGATTTCTACAAAAAAGAACGCAATCGACGAAACAACCACGTCGCCTCGCGGCACGCGCGTCCCATATGACTCCTCAAGTCTCCAACCTCGTGAACTCTAATACGGCCCCAGCTACCCCGGTCTCAGACATAACAAAACTCAACCATAACCCGTCTCCCACGGTCTCATTCTTTTCCTACAACCGTCGACACATCTTGTACATCGAAAGCCAGACCGGTGGCAGCCTCATCGAACGAGCAACTAAGGGCTGGACCTTCGCAGATAATTCCAAGAAAATTCTCGTCCCTCTCCTGTGTGGTAATTTCTGCTACATCGACCCCGTCGGGAGGAACCCCTCCGACACGGCCGCGATACTTTGGGGGGAGGGTGCGAACCCCGCCGATGCGGGGACCGGCGGCGGTTGCGGGGGAGGCACGCCGACCGCCACCTGAAGGGGCGCCATGGCCGGGGGCATGGCGGGGGCGGCGGCAACGGGAACCGGCATGGTGGCCGCCGCCGCCTCCGGCATTGTTGTCGGCGGCGGCAACCCTAGGCCTCCGACCGCTACGGCGGCGCCGGCGCCGAGCGGCGACCCGCCATCGACCCGAATCCTCTTCCGCGACGGGTCCGTGTTGTCCGTGGCCGCGACCGTTGTCTTCCTGAGCCCCTCCGCGAAGCCCTCGCACCGCCGCTTGAGGCCGGCGGCGTCCGCGCCGGACTCGAGCGCCTGGCGCAGGGCGTTGCCGATGATGGTCATGCTCTCGCGGAACACGGGGTCGTTGATGCGGGAGCTCGGGAGGGAGCCGACCACCGACCCCGGGGAGGCCGCCGCCGCCGCTGCTGCCGCGGCCGCCGCTGCTGCTGCGCGACGGCGGGGGGCTTCCTGGCCCGAGAGGGTGTGGACGCAGCGCTGGGCTTCGAGGGAGAGCTGACGCCCTTCGAAGAACTCGTGCCGAAGGATTTGCATCTGGTCAGGTGCGGGCAGCGGGAGCGAAGCCGGTGGCGGCGGGGCGGGGGCACGTTAGCAACGCGCGCCTTTCGAGACGGAGCACCGCCCTACAGTGAGAGACGTCACTATTATGACGCTCTCACCGCAATTGATGGAAGTTACAGACCGACAGCAAATAGAGTTATTTGCTCTTCTCGTCCCGCTCGGGCCGGCGTCGTTCAATTCGCAAGCGAGATAGCACTGTTCATGCTGCAAGACTGAAGACAAACTCACAAGCTATTGCGAGGCATGAAACGGACGAAAACCACGAAATTTCCCTGTACACCCAAGCGCTTCATCAAAGATAATGGCTGTCTTCACTCGGAAGCCTTCTTGTTGACCGCAGGGTTCGGCGGATAAAAAATACGCCTCCAACGTACCTAACAGGCCATTAAGATGGGTTCCCCACAAGCAAGTATCATAATCCGTGCTCAAGTTTTTCGAATAGCATTCCGAGGCCCATTGACTGCCAACTTCGTATGCAGTGGCCGGTGTCAAGAAGAATACAAGAAAAATTACCACGGAAGGACTACCAGCTCCAGAAAATTCTCGAAGGGGCGTTGTCTTTACATACAACGAGGGTTTTTAGTGGTACCTGCTGGGAACTGGACTTAATTCGAGTCTGTTTTTATAAACCCTTCCGCTGCTGACCAACCAGCGGTACCCAGCCGGAATAAACATGCTGTAAATACCTGCGTCCGAACAGCCACCGGTATCCTGGCCCACTCCTTGAGCGCGCTGACGTGCTCCGCCAGCAGCTCCTCGGGCAGCACGGGGTCCTGTCTTCCGGCACGGAGGGGCCCCGCGAGGCGGTGGTTGTGCTCGAGGGTACACCTCGTCACCCCTGGCTGGAGGCACTTCTCGGGCCACGTGGCGTTGATCTGTTGGTGGAAATGCATAGAAGACGGATTACTGTGAAACACTGCTGTCACGATTTTTGGGAGAGGCGTAAAACTCTTCAGGGACAGCAACGAGAGACATGCAGTAATTTCTGGTGCCAAGGGGTGAAGCTGTACGTCTACATGTGGGCGAGCGATCTCAAGAGAACAAAAAAACGACACACGACGACACAAATCAATGAAGACGAGATTAATCAAGGGGCAGGCACAACATGGGAAACGTGCGTAGGCGAAAAAAATCGAAAGCCACTTACAGAAAGCCAGCGAGAGAGGTAAGGGTGTGACCTCGCCGAGGTCACACCGATAAACACCAACGAATGGTACGATTGGGTCTCCTCTGACGACGGACACCAGACTGCAACAACGACAGAAGCCAGGCCTAGGTATCAACAGCAGAATCACACTATCTCTCGCCCGCATGAAAGCAGCAGCAGCAGTCAATCGCAATGGGTTCGTAACACAATGCCCACGATCTTTAACCTGCGACTACAACAAAGTCATCAAACTGTGGGTGGAAAAAAAAAAACGAACACACAAAAAATACTCTCTAACAAACACCTGGAAGGGGCATCCCTGGCGCTTCGACGGCCTCTCCCGGGAGGTCTGGTCGTGTGTCAGGTCCTTCTGGCCCTTGCGGGGCGTTTTCATGCCGGCGCAGTCGCACTTCCACACGATGCGCTTCTGCCTGCCGTCAGCGCGCTTCTCGCCCTTCGAGTCCTGCGGCGACAGCGGTCGGCGGGGAATATGGGTCATTTTGGCATATCTCGTCACCACTCAGCGTTCCGCAGTCAAGAAACTCCGGGGGCGATCTCAGGCGAGAGGAGCGCCGCTAGACTCGGAGGCACATTTCAGTGATAGGCTTGGCCCCGCTGGCGGCGAGGAGGGAAGAGAAGGGATACATTCGTCCCCCAATTTCGGAGCAAAATGCTTTTGTTTTTGTAAGGAGGCTTGCGGCACATGAGGAACACACGATAGCTATCAGTCGAATGCTACGTGGACGGAGGAGCGGGGCAGGATGTTGAGGGCACAGGTGATTCCGTTTGGTAGCCTCTACGGATTCGAAAGGGAAAGTGCAAGTCGAGGAGACTTCCCGTCACACTTGCCAACGAGGGCTTTTCGATCTTGCACGGCTGAACGTCTCAAGCAGTGCAGCTATATACCGGCCGGCAAACGACAGTAAGTGCGCGCCATGTTGTAGTAATACCAAGACAACACCCCCCCTGGACCAATTTTCAAAGCTCGATTACGCCACCAAGAAGAGGTTGCAAAAAAGAAACGACCATTTTTCAGAAAGCTCTCGACGAGACGGCTTAACGCCGCCGTTTCGGCGCTGTCACTCTTTCTGTCGTTGAGAAATCGAGCTTTGAAAATCGGTCCAGGGGGTATGTTATCTTGTATCATATATGGTAGGCTACACGTAACACGCAAACGCACAGCAGATAGATATTCCCGATGTGATTGCTTGCCCCGGCCTGTCGGAATCGAGAGGGTGGAAACAGCAGTGCCAAAAGTCAACGTCAACTTTGGTGTTGAACACGCACTGCTGTTGCACATGATCTCGCACCCATCGCCCATTGGCTGCGAAGACGTGACATGTAAATACTTCGAAGCATCGATCTACAGCAGTATTATACATAGAATAGTATAGACTCAATGGTAGGTTTTTACGTCAAAACGCAGCACCGGTTCAACACACCACCAATGCGGCTACCCTGCCCACCCTTCTCCACTTCTATGTCCCTGTACAGCGCCAGCGGTGGCACCAAAGAGCTTGCCAGATTACGTTTGAACATTGAAGCCGGAAACCCTTGTTATCTCGTCGCTCTTCTCTGCCACCAAGACGTGGAGCTGAAATATTTTGAGCGCATCTAACGCGCGCTCTCTACCAAGTTGGGCACGGAGGTCGGTCCTCAAAGTAATAGAGGGCAGAGCGCAGATAACGCGGCGCGCCCACAACACACGGCAGCAGCAGCAGCAGAGCAGCGGATGATCACACGTAAGATTCATTCAAACCCAGGTATGCGCCGACGAGAAAGTCTCCCAGCAGCACACAGCACCGTCGTCATTGTTGCCAACGAAGGAGCCGGCTCCCTCTACCCTCTCAGCCGATTCGTTCACTCGCCTTCACCACCTTGAAGCCCGCCTTGCGCGCCAGGCGGCGGACGTTTCCCTCCATGTCGTCCCAGTCGTCGAACGTCTTTCCCTGGTAGATCTCGCGGGAGATGATCCTCATCTCTCCGTCCAACCCGGGGTAGCCCAGCCCCGCCCCTGGCTCGATGCCAACATCGAGCCCCGGCTCCTCTGGCTCGGCCACGTGACGCTGCTCCATGACTGGCGGAGGATACATGAAGGGAGACCCCACCGGAAGAGGATTCATGGCGCGGCGCGCGAGAGAACACAGCGAAATCGAGATATGCAAACGCAAGATGTGGCTGTCTCTCTGGTCGTCCCCGGGTTTTGGCCAAGCGTGAATGTTTCGCGTCCCCTTGTCCTCCCCGCTCTGTGCGTTTTGGCCCCTTGTTGGGCTCCCGTGTGCGTGTTTTTCGGTTTTTCGTCGTGATTTGACAGCAACGCCTGCTGCTTTTTTGGGGGTTGAGTCCTAATCCTCCCCTGTAGGGGACGAATCTGAACTTTCCCCTGTTTTGTTCTCTCTCTCTCCCCGCCCGCTCCCCCGGTTTCAACATCTACCACAAAACAAATCTAGCGTCCCACGCTCATCTTCGGACGACAACAACCGGTAGCAGCATCAACACGCACATATAACAATGGATTTCCTCAACAAGGCGAAGGACGCGGTGGAGGTAGGTTGAGTACTCGTTTTGGCTGTGTCGGATCATTAATAAAGTTCTCATTTTAGGAGGCACATCCCCAACACTTTTCTTTGACTTTCGTGGGGCGCGAAGCTCTTGCCGTACATCAAGCTAGCGATCTGCACACTCTCCACCATGTCTACCCTTAGCCATTGCAGCATAACGACAGCCACGAGGTTTCCTTCGTCGCGTGTTGTATAATTACCCCATCAACAGCAGCTGCTGTGTTGGATTTGGAACAAAACCGATGTTGAAATGGCGAAAAAAGCCTCAACTTACCCTGGAGAAGTTGAACGTTGCAGCAGCCGCGCATTCGATTCTTGGCATGATCTGTCTCGCGCACGGCACGCGAAACTAGAGCTGAGCGGTGCGTCTCTCGGTGCCTGTTACAGCTTGTGGGCATGCCTGCACCGGAGCTGTGAGGTGGAAGCTGGTGGCTGTGTCTCATTCTTCTCATGGACACCTGTCGGGTCGAAAGTTCGCCCGCCTCTCGTCTGCCTTACTTCCCGCATGTACATGGAATGCATATGCATATGCATCCTACACGTTTAGCGGGTTGTGAAACCAACACCCGGCATGTACCAAAACCTCACCTGCGGTCCCACTAGTTTCAGAATCGTTACGGTAACGCCATGTTCCCGTTCAAAAACCGTCCTATGTTGTGTTCGACCGGCAACATGGGTGGGTGAGGAACAGAAAAATATTTCGCGAGAAACAGCAAAAATTGCTTGCAGAGGACACGTGGCCGGCAGTACCATCGAAAGGCAAGGAGCGCTTATTGAACATCGGCGGTGGTTAGAATTGTCGTCGCTTCCGCACGTTGGTTCTGGGTTTTTCCAGGACGTGTGATAGATTTTAATGTCATGCGGAAGCTGTCGAAATCCGTGCTCAAAAATGGCGTGTGCGAAATCTGTGCACACGCTCTATATTTACGGGTTGTTTTTAGTTGAGTATTTTTTGGCAGTTTTGATGAATATCCCGCCACCTCAACCACTACAGGGAACCAACGTCTCTCCGCAAATCCCTACAGTAGTAGTTGCAGCCCCCCCCAGCGTTGCGCGGAACAGTGTGCAATCCAAGGTTCTTATTCCTCTACTAGGACAAAACGGAAATATTAAACACCGTAGTCCCCTGCAAGGGCCACGGTATGTGTCTCATCCAAGGTGCACCCCTTCAAACATCCGGTTAGACCTCAAGAGTCACTAACAGACCGTAAACAGTCCTGCCAGCATTAGGTGCAGCGGGAACCACAGACACCATGTGTTGAAGGGGGGTACGACAGCGGCATGTAGTGTGAGCGGATTTCCGTGAATGGCACAAGGGATCATGTATTAAGGAATAATAAAAACACACACAGAAAGACTACCCATTCGAGATATACCCACAGCAGTATAGAACATCAAGGCCGGTTCCAAAAGAACCCCCTTCGTGCCACTGCTGTGAAGTTCTGAGGCGATTTCTGCAGCAGGTTTTCCTTCACTCACTCAAAAAAATCCAACACATCCCGTTTGACTGCTGGGGGCCATGTATCCCGAACGGGTAGTCTCTGTCTGTGGGGTTATGTATGTACTATTTTTCCTAGTATTACAGCAGCGTAGCATGCTCAAAAACCTGGAATCAACCGTGTCGTGACCCTCTTTTTTTTTGTTCCTGGAGGTCGGTGTGTTGTTTTTTATTTAGTTATTATTTTTTTTTTGGGTTTTTGGTAGACAAGAAGTGAACGCTTACATGTGTGTCTGAGGCTCATGTTCGTATCCTGGATTGCCGTCAAAGCGCTTTCTCTGCTCTTAGGCCAAATGGAACCGGGATCTTGAACACATCGCCCGGCGTGGTTCATAGATGCGCATACATCGCTCCTCCGTAACAGACGGCAAGACAGAGAGCGTACGGCAGCAGTTGTATCGACAACGTGTCACGGCAGCAGTGCACCCAGATGGGATACAGAGATGTCATGCGTTGGTGAAACATCGCTGTACCATTCTTTAGATCAGCTGTCGTTGGCACGCACTCAACACCAGCCTTATTTTGATGATTCCCTCTCAAGACTCAACAAACCTCCCTTCACCCCCCCCCCCCCTTTTAGGCCGAAACCGGGAAGGTAGGGAAGGACGTGCAGGGCCAGGGCGAGGAACACATCTCCGCGGCCATGAACTCCATGGGCGTGAAACAAGGGGGCGAAGAAAGGGCCCCTGCGGCGGCGGCGGCGGCGGCTCCCGCTGCCGGTAAGCAACGGCGGCGGAGGCGGCCACGGCGGGGGCGGCGGTAAGCACGGCGGGGGCGGCGGTAAGCACGGCGGCGGCGGCGGCGGAGGAGGAGGCCACGGCCAACACGCCGCCGGTGGCGGCGGCGGTGGTGGCGGCAAGGGCGGCAAGAAGCGCGGGCACAGGGCGAAGGACATCCCGGACGAAGAGTTCGACGCGGAGATCGCTGGCGGCATCAGGGCCGACGTTAGGTGTGTGTGTGTGTGTGTGTGTGTGTTTGATGCCTCTCGTCCTGGCTTTTCTTAGTCTACTCTGCTGGCCCATGGATATGATTTTCTTGACTCAAACAGGACGCTTGTTTGTTAAAACGTTGTTGTTCAAACGTGTTGAAAATATCAAGATGTCCACTCCAACCTTCTTTCGTTCTGTTTTTTTTTTTCGTTTCGTTGTTTTTCAAATGTGCATTTTTTGTTTTGTTCTGTTGGGCTTTGTGTTTTTTTCAACAGGATGTTCTCCGGGTGCGAGGACGTCCAGACCTCGGCCGACGTGCACGACGTGGCCAAGTTCGGCCTTCCCGATGCCACCGGCGCCGGTGGTGCCTGCACCAACGCCGTCCTCGCCAACGTGGTGAGTCAACACGCGGCAAGGCAACAGCAGTCACCGATACAAGAGCGGCAGCAATATATGGTGTTTGGTGCTTCGTGCCAATAGTTGTATTTGGGTTGCACGGCAACGTGACCGCAACAGCAGCAAACGGCAGCGGAGTAGGTGTTTGATGACTGCAGTGGAGGTTTGTCGGCAACATTCGAACGTACGTGCCAAACAATGTGCAGCTTGACCGTGTGGTGTGCAATTTCCGACCGATTGTATTTATTGTTTTTTTCAACAGTTGGCAGCAGGAAACAGCGGATGACGCCGGTTGGGTTATGCAGTTTCGGACCCCCCCCCCCAATTTCGTGAATTAGTCGTTCCGACACCTTACGCGTAGTATTTCGTCTCTCGTTTGAGTGTGTTGTATGCATACGGTTCTTGCCCCCTCGCCACCGTCCCGCACGCTGCTGATCTGCCTGTTTGGTTGTGCTGTGGTGTTTGTTCGTGCAGAAAGACTCCAAGCCCGACTCGTGGATGAGCCTGCTCAAGGGAATGCGCTCCACCCTCAAGGAGAAGAAGTTCAAGCAGGTACAACATGTGTGTGTGTATGTTTTTGTTTTGTTCAATGCGTCGACCGCGCTGACCGGCTCACAACGTTAAGACGTCAGTGCCAAGCGGAAGCGTGTGTATGTGTCTTTTTTGTTGTCATCGACCGCGCTAACCGTCTGACCAATGAAAAGACTGAAGTCGCCGCGCGGCTGGTAGCGGAAAACGCTCGAATGTAGATTCTATGTGTGCGTGTGTTGCGGCGAGATTGCGGTTTGCATGTCTCGACCGCGGTGACCGTCTCAAGAATGATTTAGACGGCAGTCGACGCGGGCAGAAGACACTATTATATTAATACAGCAGTGTAGAAGACACTACAGCAGTGTACTGATAGATAGATCAGCCCCCTCCCTCTACTTTGCACGTTTTCGACATTCACGCACTCCCTCATACATGCGATATTTTGTACGTTGAAGGCGTCTCTCCCCTGTCATGACGAGCAACGTCGGGTTGATTCAGTGTGAGCCGACTCCCTGTTTTTATTCCAATAATTGCGAAAAAGGTTGTATTTTTGTTGCCCCATGTTTCCTTGTGGTTTTGTACCGAACGTTGTTTTTCGTTCGTCGCGACCCTCGCTCGAATCTCGACTTGCTCATCTGCAGATCCCCCAGCTGGCCACCTCCAAAAAGATGGACATCCACTCGCCCTTCGACCTGTCTGGGGTAAGCTTTTTTTGCGGTTCTCCAGCTTGTCCTGTCTAGTCATTTTTTTTTGTTCGGAAGACGTTGCTCGCGAGGCTCGTCTCTGCGTACGATGTGCGCAAGAGGTCTCAAGTTGTTTCATCGGTTCTCGGTTGTAACTTGTGTCATTTGTCAATATAATATGTATTGCCTCGTAGTACTCCTGTTTTTCTTCATGCGATATGGTTCCAACAGTCGGGCGATTTTGCGTTTGTGCGAGAGGGACAGAGCGACCGGAAAGACTTGGTATGTTGGCATTGGCTTGGTCCTCGTGGTGGATGTCGTTCGAGAGTATTGAGCCAATGCGCAAGCCTCCTCGGTCGCAAGGGCAGGGGTGGGGAGGGACGAGGCCGTGGTTGCTCCCAAGCAGCCGCTGTCAAGTACTTTAGCCTCGACGTAAGGCACGACCGTTTGGAATTTGTGTTGAGAGACGTGGTCTTTGTTTGGTGACTCTCGATTTTCTTTGTGTGGTTTGTGTTGTGGGTGTATTTTGCAGTAGTAATATTGCATCCCCTGCGCTTACCGGCCGGCCAACGAGAAGACACCAGTCTCAGTGCGGCGTAATAACGGAAAACGCTTCTGATCTATGAGTGTTTTTGTTTGTTTTGTGTGCGTGCGTTGCGTGTTTTGTTCGTGTTCATGGAGGGTGACGAATCAGGCAACCACAAGGCCCTCCTGATCGGCATCAACTACACGGGCGGAAAGGGAGAGCTCAAGGGCTGCCACAACGACGTGAAGCAGATGAGGGAGTACATCACCACCCACGTGAGTTTTGTGTTTTTGCCTGTTAACTCGTCCCTGTTGGTTTTGAAATGCCCTCTTGAAACATCGCGTCCATTTTGACGTTTCTACTGTGTTTTTCGGTTTCGGCAGTCGACCGTATATGACCGAAGAGAGACATAGAATGTTGACGACGAGCGAGGGGCAGGGGGGGTGCATCACTACCGTAGAATAGCGAGAGATATGTTCGTCGTACTTCGGTGCTTTTTCGGGGAGCTGTAGTCGTAGTCGTGCGCCGGAGGCGGTGTTTTTTGCCGAGAATGCCGTGAAGAATGGTCCACAGTACTGCTACAATACTTCTGTTCGCGTCGACTTGTTCCGGTGGAAACTGCTGTACTGTATTCTTGTCTCGTTTGTTTTTCAGATATTCGTCAGCTTTTCTCAAGAGTGGGAGTCGAAAAATTTTTACGGATGCACCGGACATTATACGGAATATCCCGTTCATGGTTGTGAGGGAACACTTTTCGGTCGACAAAAAATGGAAAGTATGTTGAATGCGCATCTGTCTCTACCTTCCTTGTTTCCTCCTTTTTGTAGGGATACCCCGCCGACGGCGCAAACCTCAAGATCGTGTCCGATGACGGAGAGCACGAGGAGCCCTCAAAGGAGAACATCCTCAAGGCCATCAAGTAGGTTATCATTCCTTGCTCTTTGTTGATATCGCTGCTGTTGCTGCTGCTACTGCTGCTGTGTTGATATTGGTTTCGAGTTTCATTTTTATCATCGGGTGCCGTTGTTATTGGTTTTACTGCGTGTTTGCCGCTCCAGTATTGATAGCGTTCTCGCGATTTGTTTTTGTTCGGCTCTTCGTGATGCTACTGAACTGCCGTGTCAGTGCTACCCCCTTCGCGTACGCCTCTCAATCAAAATGTGTTTTTTTGGCTCTGTCGATGCCCGTACGAAAAAAAGGTGGCTCGTTCACGGCGCCAAGGCCGGAGACTCGCTCTTCATGCACTACTCGGGCCACGGGGGCTCCGTGAAGGACAACACAGGCGACGAGGAGGACAACAAGGACGAGACCATGATCCCCGTCGACTACATGAAGTCGGGACAGATCAAGGACGACGAGATCCTCAAGGAGGTACGTGCGTGCGTGCCTTGCGCACGCGGGGCCCCTACGCAAAGGTCGATTCCACCGCATGACACTTCCCAACGCCATTCATGCGCTCTCCGAAATTCCACCGCAGAGGAGAAGTGCTCTCAAGTCCCAAATCTATCACCGATTTCATCTCCTGGAAAGTTTGGCGCGATAGCGACCTTTTTATGCCAGATTTGTTGTTGGTCGCGTTTGCTCTTTTCCAGTCGGGGAATAGTTGATGCGAACACCGTCATCACGATCACGACCTCCCCGAAGCATTGATGCCCATGGGTCAAACGAAACCACACTTTTTTGTTTTTCGTCTTAAGTCGAACGTGTCGTTTGTCCAACGGGTCAAGAAACAACGGTAAACTTTATTCAACTCGAACACGTCGTGTGTTTCTTCCAAAGCGTCAAGAAAGAAGAGGGTAAACTTTAGTAAACCCGGACTTTTCGTTTTTCATTTTGTACTTCCATCACGTATTGTACTTGTGGTTTTGTGGCCGGGCCTCTCATTTGGCTGCCTGGCTGTCTGGCTGCTTGTTTTGGAATATTGTGCTTTGCGCCTTCGTGCCGATTCTTCATTTCTCTCCCCATAATATGCTACAAAATCAACTCACCCAAACCCCCTCTCTCAAATGTATCTTGCCTTCACAGGTTTGAATGCGCATCTTTCGTTGAGCTTCTCTTGATGGTACAGCATTCTGCAGAATTCTACAGAACTCAAACGAAAACCCCCCGTCCTCAAACGTATCTTGCTTCCTTTTTTTTTTCTGTATTTTTGCTTCTTTTTTTTTTCTATCTTGTTGTGACGTGCAGCTGGTCATGCCCCTCCCCGAAGGCGTCGTTCTCTCCGTGGTCATGGACTGCTGCCACAGCGGCTCCATCCTTGACCTGCCCTACTCGTTCGACGCCAAGGACGGCGCCCTCGAGTTGGTAGAGGCCGGGGGCTCCGGCGTCATGCAGAAGAAGAAGAACTTCAACGTCAAGAAGGTGAGGGGTAGCTGTTACCGTAGGCGGTTGTTGTAGATTAGATTTGTAGAACGATCTCTGGCGTCATGCAGAGGAGTTACTTGAGCATCAAGAAGAAGGTGAGGGGTATCTGTACTGTAGGCGGTTGGTAGGTTTCGTAGGACGATCTCTCGCGTCATGCAGAAGAAAAAGAACTTTTCGTCAACGTGAAGAAGGTGAGTGTTTTGGGGCATTTTAGAAAGGTCTCTGGTGCTGGAATGCTGCTTTGCTGCAGTTTTTGTGGCCAGTTTCCATGGTTTTTGGTCTTGCTTGCGCCCCGTCCGCACACCATTGAGCAAGCGCCCTTGCGTATTTCCAAAACAGCACCACCAAGGCGGTACGAATCACCTTGTTCGGACAGGCATCCATGTCCTGTATATAACTCGTCGATGTAGTCCTGGACGTTTCTGAACCAAAATTGACCATCCCGCTCTGGTCCCATCCCACCCGTGCATCGGTCCCCTCGTCATTCGTTCGCTGCCGTATTTTCTCTCTGTTGGCCCTTTGCAGATGCACAAGGCGCAGGGAAAGCACTAAGCCTGCACTCGGCCTGCCCACCGTACGTTCCGTGCCGTTTGGGCACTATAATACCGCCGTAGTGTCCATTCGCCCGTGTGTGTGTGCCGCGGTTAACTTCGACGACGGATAGAGCAAGCCCGGATTTTCTGCGTTCTCATGAGTCATTTTGCCGCTTTTGTACCTTTTGATGGTCCATCGTCCTTATTTGAAAATGTAGAGGTTAGGTTTTAATCGTTTTACAAATTAAATGCAGGTGTAGATGTGTAGCTGGGCGTTTTTTATCGTTCGGAGACTGGTGAGGTGAAGGCCTCGATTTGCTTCATTTCTAGCAGCAGCGTGTTTGACCCTCGGTTTAACGCATGCTTGAAGATGTCCCTCTTTCTCGAAAGGGGGATACGCCGAGAACCTCAACTTGAGGGGGGGGGGCACCGCTGGCTGGCGGAAGTTGGAGACATCGCCTTGTCGAGCGCGCTGCTGCTCTCTGTGTTACTTTTTGGAAGAGCGCTACATGGTCCGAAAACTTTTTTTATGAGGCGGCGGCGCCATCAGCGGCAAGCAGAGAGATAGTGACTGCGCCCCCCGACATGTGGTGTACGCGCTTTTTGTTGTTGTTCTGCTTGCTACCGGTGAGGTTTTGTTTAAGCAAGTGACCAACCACGTTCGAGAAATAAATCCATGGATACCTTGGAGTGCATTTTTCGACACCTATCGACTTCCTTCCCCGCTTCTTGTCGATCGATGCGTTGTTTTTTTTTATCTTGGCTTGTTCCCAGAAAAATGAACGATGTTACAGAGAGCTCGGACAAAACGTTCAGCCGCTTTTTGGACGGGCATTTCAGTTTTGTTCACCCGTCATGAGGTAAAAATGCTTTTGGCGGCTGCCGTCCGTTTCGTTGGATTGCCCATGGCGGCACATCTACATGTCAGACGGTAGGTTCTCGCTCAGTTGCTGACCGCCCATGACAGCAAGAGAAAATGGATAGATCGTGGTATCGTAGACTCACATGGTGTGATGTCGCACAAACAACACGAAACGAAAGCGCGGTGGCAATACCAATTTCTTTTGATGCATTTGATGCTACAGTCAAGCATCTTTCGAAACGACGAACAGTGTCTTCGTGGATGGACTCTAGACTACTCCGTATATATTGCCTGCTCAAAACCAAAAACATTCCCCAAACCTAAACCAATTAATTAAATCAAACACCCCCCATAATAATATATTAGGGTACCTACCTTACCCAACGAACAGCATTTCTCCTCCTGTATAGACTGCGCAAGTTGGTTTGAAATTGAGAGTGAAGTCCTGCGCGAAACACGTACACTGGGACCACCCCCGCACGGAACCTATCGGTCCCCGTTTATCCCCCATTGAGGAGATGAGGAACGCCGGTGGGTTTTCAAGTGATGGCACCATCTGCAAACTCGAAACGATTGTAGCCCGCCGTCATCACCACTCCTGTCCTATTCCTATTACAGTAGTCGGTTTGCGTGAAATGGAGGAGAGGGGGTACAGAGACTGAACTCAACCAAACGGTTGATTTTCAAGCACAAGGATAAGCGATGACGTGGCCGCTTGAGAATCGTGGAAAAGGCAGTGTACGTTTGGGGTGCTACTAGGCTGTAAACAAACGTCGGGCGCTTGACATGTACCCTGCTCTCATGGAAGAGCATCGTCGAAATGTGTTTCTGCAATTAAATGCGCGAGATCCAGCCGCTCGTCACATTATACTATCCAGCACTGCTCGACTTCCTCCTACAGTAACCCTTGATACTTGCTTGGTTGTTCGAAGGAGTATCGTCGGCATTACTGTGAGTACAGGTTTTTGTGTGTCATGTGGCGGTCAGGAAAAGCGCGGACCGGGAGCGTTTCAAACAAGACAACTTTGCGAGACGGAACTGGTTGTGTTTCGGATGCACGAGTTGCTGTGCATTGAAGCCCCTCCTCAGAATAATGTACGGCAAAAACCGCCATGCCCCAACTTCACAAACCGAGGCGCGTAGTGTTGCCCATGTCTCTCTTTGCTGGTGCTGCTGCCGTCATCAGCGATGGGCGCTTGTCTCGATTTGCGTGCGGACGAATTCTGGATTTCGGTAGCTGAAAAACGGGGTACACTGCTGTAGCAGCACTTCATATTTCCAGTTTTACTTCGTGGTCCAAAATGAGGTTTAGTTGCCGTTCCCTCCCTCGCGATGCCACTCGGTGTGCCCATGCACAACAACCAACCGCGAAAGGCAGGCAGAGGCATTGCACAACGCCGCCCTTGGCTCATCACCAAAACAAGCAACGGCAAGCAACGGACCCTCGGCGGCCGATGTGCCCTCCCTGCCCCCCCCAAGCGAGGTGCCTCGCGGGGCATTGCCTTGTACAAAACTGAGGTGTAACGTCTGCTTCCAAGGTCAACAGCCAGTCAAAGGAAACATACCTACCAACACAGCGAATTGCAGGGCCGGCATCAGCCCAGAGTGTAGGGGCGCGTGTCTTCGCGGTACAATTCGGGCCTGGGTGGCTACCCGTCAATCGCCAACAAGCACGAGGTACTTCACACAACATATTGCTCCCGTTAGTCTTCCCTCCTATCAACTTGTCGCCTTTTCTCAAAACCGCTTAACTCCACAAAGCTTGGACAGGGCCATGGCCACGTGCTTCATATATCAAGCACCGTTGACCCCCCCCCCCCCCACTAGATCATGTTGTGCGGGGTCGAGAAACCTCACTCCGCGCAACGGGGGATGATCGCACCACGTTGTGTTAAAATGGTCAAGCTTCCTCGAGGCAGTTACACAGTGCTTACAACTGTCTCTGGAAGTGAAAGCACCAGAAAATAAATTAAGTCATACGTAGCTGTCATCCGTACGCAAGGAAGTAAGCACAAGATGCCGAACACCCTTAGCAGGATGCAGCTCACCCTTCATGCGACTCGCCAAATACCTCACGGCGCTTCGCGCTTGGTGATGTGAGAGCCTGGTCCGGTGAGAACCCGGCGTGCTCCGTCCCGGCTTTGTAGGGATGCGAGGTCAATGGTCAAACGACTACGGCATGCACGACTATGAGTACACCCCCCCCCCCCCCCCCCCCCCCATTTTGGC